GGCTGGGCCGGGCCGCGTCTGTCAGCAGCCCTGCAACCCGGGAGCTGCCAAGTCGGAGCCCCGAGGGAAGGGGTGAGAGAGGCGAGTCTTGGGCTCAGTCTTCTCGCAGGCTGAGAGTTTCTAACGCTCCCAGCTGCCGTTTCTGCACCGCCCTGAGCCCCGTCTGGTTTCTATGTTTCTACCACCAAACCTGGCATCAGGATCTAGCCTGGGGAGGGGGAGGGGGAGGGGGAGGGAGTCAGGGGCTCTGGCCCTGCGAGAAGTGGGAGACAGACCCCACCTGGAGCTGGCGAGGAACCACCTTAGAGATACAAGGTACCCAACCACCTTAGAGATACAAGGTACCCAACCTGCAGCTTGTGGCAGAGACTGTGGAGTGGGAGGCATTTGTTACTGCAAACTTGGAATGTTTAAGTTCGCCCTAAAGTAGCCTGAGCTCTCCTGGCTCCCGGCTGGCTCCTGGGGGCCACGGGGAGAGGCCCTGCCCGTGGAGCTCAGAGGGTGGCCGTCCCTCATGGGGGTGCACTGCGAGGGGCTTATCTGGGGGCCTCCAGCAAGCCGGAAGCAGTGAAGGTCCCAGCTGAGCTCTCCTGTCGATGGGTCCCCCCTACAGACCCACCCCGCTGTCCCCCGCCAGGTTGTATCCTTCGGGTTGTCCGTTGGCAAGGCTGAGCACGACCCCCTGCACCCCGCCCGGAACTAGCCATGTGGGCAGACGAGCAACAGAACTTGGGTCCCAGCCTGCGTCCAGGGCCCTTCCTACCGTGCACGCGCCCGAGACTGTGGGGCGGATGGGACCCCTCTCCCGCAGAGGCTGTGTTTGAGAGACCCCCGCGAGAGAGCATGCATGTGTCCACACCGGGCTGACTCAGCTGACACCCAGTGGGATTCTCTGGGACTCCGGGTGGGGTGAGGGGCCGTGCCCCCCTCCCCCAAAAGCATCTCCAGGAAACTTCTGGACGTTTCCTTGGGCACAAAGTGGCGAGAAGCGGCTAAGATATGAATGGTGCCCACCTGGCACAGACCCCTCGGCTGTCTCTGCCCAGAATGAGGAAATCCCAGAACGAGGCTCTGAGGGTGCCGGTGGGACGAGGAACCCTCTGGAAGCCTTGGAGAACAGGCTGGACATGGACCCCACATGCTAGTCCTAGGGGCCACCCGGCTGGGAGATCTGCTGAGACCGGGGCCCACGTGCACATAGACAGGAGCTCAGCCTGGAGGGGGGAGTCACAGGGCTTTGAAAGAGAAGCACCCCAGCTTCCCCGGGGCTCATGGGGACGTCCCATGCCCACACCCAGCTCATCCCGGGCTTTTGCTTCCTTCTAGCTAAACCCCAGGAGCAAAGCCCCCAATATGGAGAAATGCTATCCTCTCCAATATGCAACCCCCCCAATATGGAGCAATATGGAACCCCAGGAACCAAGTGCTCCCTCTGCTGCCCCCTTCATAAAGGGAGAGAGGTCTGGAGAGAGAGTCTGTGCTCAGGGGTCCTGGAGCCGGGGTTCCTGATGCCAACAAGTATACAAATGGGGCGGGTAAGAGAGGGCTTGTCCCTGGGCCCTGTGCCCCCTGGAAGGCCAGACTCAGGAGACAGGAGGTCAGCTCTGTGATGACCTCACAGGTGCGGGGTGGGGGCGGGGAGTAACTGGCGGAAATGCAGGGGCAGGGGTGGCCCTTAGAGGGGGCCCAGGAAGCCTGGGCAGGGTCAGTGTACTGACCCGTTCCAGGGTTCTGACCCTAAGCTTTATGCCCTGGTTGACCCAGAACTTTTCTCCAGGACCAGGCTGTTGCAGAGGGGTTAACGGGCTCAGTCTCCAGCCTGACCAAGATTGGGTCAGAAGGAAAATTCCAGAAAGCAACAGGAACCGCTTGCTTCTGCTTCTAGAGGTATTTTTCTGAGTGTAATGGTTCCTTTTCCTCTCTTGCCCCCAGTTAATGGAGCTAAATTTACCTTTCTTTCTTTTTTATTTTATTTTTTTGCCTATTTCCACAGCAGAGTAATTACCCCATGCTAATTAGTTTTAGGAATAAAATAAAGGAAGCTATCCTACAGAGTTCATGAAAGCAATCTTTTCAAATGAAGGCCTAATTATTCAAGTAATGCCTTAAATTTCTGATGGAAAAATATTTCGTTAAAAAAGGAATCTTTCTCCTACAGTGGTGTGTGTGTGTGTGTGTGTGTGTGTGAGAGAGAGAGAGAGAGAGAGAGAGAGAGTGTGTGTGTGATGCATGTATTTTTTCTCAGCTAAAATAAATGCACAGCTCCTTTAAGGACGCTACATTGGCACATCAAAGTCAAAGAAAATTTGCCGTGAGGAGGACTCTAGATTTAGTGCTCAGCTCACATTCAAAACATTCTTATTTCTTGTTTGTTTTGGGGTGCCACAGCTAGAAGTGCTTGGGGCTTAGTCCTGCTTCTGAGCTCAGGGATCCCTGTGGGGGGGCTCAGGGGACTCTATGCACTATTGGGGGTCAAATCTGGATAGGCTGTGTGCAAGTGGCATTACTTGCTGTACCATTTCTCTGGCCCCTCAAAACTTTTTTTTTTTAAAGTCTCAAACAGCAACTTCAATAATCTCTCTGCTGGAGGAGGAGCCGTCTCTGAAAACCAGGCTGGGATCTAAGAACACTGCCAGGACATCGGGGTATATGTTGGGGGCTCTGAGCGAAAAAGCATCTTTTGGTCTTTATAAAAAAAAAAAGGTTGAGAACCAGAGAAGGCTTGTGACTAAAGCAGTGGATAGCCAGATTCAGCAGTCACTGTCACTGTCCTCCTGTTGTTCATTGATTTGCTCGAGCAGGCCCAGTAACGTCTCCATTGTGAGACTTGTTGTTACTGTGTCTGGCATATTGAATACGCCACGGGGAGCTTGCCAGGCTTTGCTGTGCGGGTGGGATACTCTCGGTAGCTTGCCGGGCTCTCCGAGAGGGGCAGAGGAATCGAACCCGGGTCGGCCCCGTTGGCTGTGTGCAAGGCAAACGCCCTACCACTGTGCTATCGAGACTGACTAAGATGGTCACAGAGGAGCCGAGGCACCAAGGGAGCATCTAAGTAGCAGGTAAGTTGGACTCGGTACAAGCGGACCCCTCCTGACACCTGCCCAAAGAGCCCACAGGACGGGCTGAGCCCCGAGGAGTGGGGGGGGCAGGCTGCTCTTCTACTCCCCCTTGCCTTGCGTCCCTGTGGAGGGTGCCAAGGCTCCCTTTCCCGGGAACAGGCAGAAACAGAAGCTCATGGAAACTTGGATATGAAGGATACCCGGCCAGTCCTGCCAGGAGGGCACATAGCGGTTCCCATAGCTCCCAACGCTCTAAATTTCCTCCTGATGACCCCTGCGATCCCTGACCTCCCGTTACTAAGGTGTGAGGAAACTCTCTTCCTGCACAACCCAGTCATCAGAGAAACAAGGAGATGCCAGAGCGTGGTGTCACTGATAACACTGATGTGAAGTGAGAAGAGTAGAGAGAGGCCCCCGGGGACTCTAGGAGTCACACCCAACCACTTCCTCCTTCCGAAACTCCAGGGGCTCTTAAAGAGCCCCAGATTCCATGGGGGGGGGTGCAGGCTGGACCTCCCTGTCCCAGAAACCAACAACTACAACCTTCCCACGCATCACCAAGCCCCGCAAACTCCCTCCTCGTCTCCCTGTTCACGTGGCCCAGTGTCTCGTGCAAAATATCCCAATATTAAAAGTGCTTCAGATTGGATAGACGTTTACAATAGAAACATTAAAAAAATAAAAAAAAACCTCTATACAAAATTAATTGTGCTTTTTTTTTTTACCCAGAAACCACGAAGGGTTTTGTATTCATAAATCTTTTTAATATATATATATATTTATATATATGTAGTTGAGTGCTGTGAAGCAATCGAAAATAGTTTCATCACTTTCTAGCTAGTTCTGGGTCAGCCTCTCGTACCTGGCCTTCTAGGCGTGGTCAACTATAAGCTTCGAGAAACTTCGAGAGACTCCCCAGGTGTGGATTTGTCCTACGTGGCTCTGGCCTAGCAGAGAACAATTGCGCAGGTTTCCGGGATATCATTTCTTCACTGGTCATTAACCAGGACTCTTGGGCACGCTCCTCCCGGCTCAGCGGGCTGTGACATTCGTCGGGCATATAAATAATTGGGTCTTTCATCAGGGAGGTTGGGAAAGAAAGCATTATTAGCAAAGACAAGACAAACCTCAGTGAACCGTGCACGACCCACACAGAGACAGTGGGCCTGGACGGTTGTGGGGGGGGGGGTCTCTGGTTAGAACCAGGTGACTGCTGGACTGTCACACGGCCCCTGGGGCCTGTCGGGTTCATCTTGCAGAAGCGTGACCGCCAAGGTTCCCCGCCGGGAAGCATGTGTTTCAAGTAGGACGGTCTCAATGCCAGTGAGTTTTGAATATGTGACTCATTCTCTGAATGCAACGATAAGAGTGACGGGCATGGCCACTCGTGTCTGTCTCTCCTGCTGTGCAAAATTGTTTCCATCTCGGCTGTTGTTGGGGTCCAGAAAAGAAGGGTGCGATGTCTGTGGTCATAGATCCCCTCCCCAGACCTCTAGGGTGAGGTCTCGGCCCCTGCGAAGCACGGGGGGGCTTCCGATAAAAACGCTGCTGGCTCTTGTCTGTGCTTTGTACAGGAGAGCACCCATTCTGGATCCAGGGGGGGTCTTTACTATTCCACACTCAACCCAGGAGACCCCCCGCTCGCCAACGTCGCCACACAAGAGACGGACAAACTGCTCCCTGCGAGTCCTGCTGGAGAAAGGGTCCCAGAGGGAGCAAGGGACGGCTCCCGACTAGCCCGGCCCATGTCTGAGCTCAGACCCATGCCAGGATGCACAAAGAGCTCTCGCCAGCCTTGCCTGGGGACCGGGACAGCAGGAGGACACCCAGACCTCGTGCGCCACCTCCAGCCCAGGACAGAGGACGGGCGTCAGCAGGAGAGACGCGTGGGGTGCAGGAGAGAGGGGGCGCCGGGCCGGCCTCCGGAACAGCGCCCGGGGGGGCACAGGCTTGGTTAGTCGTCTTCTCGGCACATGGGCAAGTTGACGAAGGTGAAGACGTTGAACTCGATCATGATGGAGAAGCACAGGAAGATGGCATAGAGGACCAGCACGTAGACGCCCAGCTTCCGGTCCAGCCTCCACTTGTTCAGGTGGATGCCCAGGACCTGAGTGAGAGGACGCGGGGGTCAGCGAGGGTGGGAGAGACCACCGCGCCAAGCGCGCCCTGCCCAGGGCAGGGGGGCCGGTAGGGGTTCAGCCTGCTTAAGACTCGCCTGAGAGGGCTGGAGCGATAGCACAGTGGGGAGGGCATTTGCCCTGCATGCGGCCGACCTGGGTTCGATCCCTGGCATCCCATACGGTCCCCTGAGCACTGTCAGGAGTAATTCCTGAGTGCAGAGCCAGGAGGAACCCCTGTGCATCTCCGGGTGTGATCCCCCCCCCCAAAAAAAAAAAGATTTGCCTGAGTCCAGGCTCTGTGCTCACAGGGCTGGCTGCCTGGGCCAGCCCTCCCCACTGGAAAATCCTTTCCTAGGGGTGTGGTGCCCTCTGGGCCCCTGCCAGGCACTATGGTGCCTCTCCCCCTCCCTTCCAGGTGCCTAGGGTTGAGTTGGCCCACCAGGGAAACTTCTGCCCTAGAACTGGACACGCTCAACCCTCGAGAGCAACTTCCAATGCTGTCCTGTGGGCTGGCCAACTCCTGCTTGGACACCCTTTTCTTTTCTTTTTTTGCTTTTTGGGTCACACCCGGCAATGCTCAGGGGTGACTCCTGGCTCTGCACTCAGGAATCACTCCTGGCGGTGCTCAGGGGACCATGTGGGATGCTGGGAATCGAACTTGGGTCGGCCACATGCAAGGCAAACACTCTACCTGCTGTGCTATTGCTCTAGCCCCACCTTTTTTCTTTTCTTCCTTTTTTTTGCTTTCGTTTTAGGGTTACACCCGGCAGTGCTCAGATTTTACTCTGTGCTCAGGGATTACTCCTGGTGGTGCTCAGGGACACACCTGAGGTACCAAGGTCCTTTTTTTTTTTTTTAAAGAGCCTATTTATTTAAAATTTCTGATATCAGGTGGGCAGCCACTATTTCTTGCATCGACAGAGATTCTTAAAGGTGGCTGATGGAGTGGGAGGCTCAACAGTGAAAAACCTCATTTGTTCAGGTGCCGAGGTTCTAACCTGGGCTGGCCAGGGGCAAGCACCCACGCTGCGCTGTACTACTGCTCTGGCCCCCCTGCTTGGCCACGTTCTAGCCCTGCGGCTCTGAGCAAGTCACAAGCCCCCGAGTCTCAGTTGCTCCTGCACCCTGGATGAAAGGTCCCACCAGACAGCCATGAAGGGAGTGAAGCCAAGTGCCTCCCAGCCCTGGGCACTGGATCGCAGTGGATCCTGAGGGTAGACCCATGAGCCCACCTCTGCCGGCTCAGCTGGGCATGAGGAGGGGGCATCGCTCTTGCCAGCACCAGCAGGAGGGCACTGCAAGGTGGCTTGAAGGGAGGGAATCATTTCCATCATTTCTGGGGGCTGGAGCAATAGCACAGCGGGTAGGGTGTTTGCCTTGCACGTGGCCAACCCAGGTTCAATTCCCAGCATCCCATATGGTCCCCCAAGCACCGCCAGGAGCAATTCCTGAGTGCAAAGCCAGGAGTAACCCCTGAGCATCGTCGGGTGTGACTCAAAAAGCAAAACAAAACAAAACAAAAAAAAAACATTTCAATAATTTCTGTTGGTGACTTGGGGAAAGCTCTGTGGCGGACGCCGGTGTTTTCGGCAAGGGTTCGGGTTCTTGGTGGTACCCGTGCGTGTCTGTCTTCTGGCCTCGCCCCTGACCATCTGCGGGAGTGAGGAGGGCTCTCTGAGGCAAGGTGGGGGACTGGGCAGCACCAGGTCCAGTGTGCCTGAGCCTCCTAGGTAGGGCCTGTGAGGACTGGTGGGCCAGGGCTGAGCACCTGTCTCTAGCGTAGGGTCATGGGTTCCAATCCCGTCTGACCCACCAATTGATGAACACCACTGGGAGGGGTGCGATCCCCAGTGAGCATCGAAACTGAAAAATGGGCCAGTGCCACGGGCAGGAAGTGCAGCCTCTGGTGAGCACGTGTGAGCACTGCAGCCTGGTGTGCAACCTTCCCCCACCCCACCCCCACGCCCCTGCCCCAACAATCCCAAGCACCACCTCCAAGCGAAGAGGGAGAGAACAAATACGGAAGGAAAGGACTTACCGTGAGTGCCACAGAGCCCAGCAGCAGGACCACGGAGTAGACCAGTCCCCGGCTGTTGATCGTCACCTGCAAGAATAAGTCCAGACACCTGACTCTTGGGCTGGAACGATAGCACAGCGGGTAGGGCGTCTGCCTTGCACGCGGCTGACCCAGCCGACCTGAGTTCAATTCCTCCGCCCCTCTCGGAGAGCCTGGCAAGCTACCGAGAGTATCTCGCCCGCACGGCAAAGCCTGGCAAGCTACCCGTGATGTATTCAATATGCCAAACATAGTAACAAGTCTCACAATGGAGACGTTACTGGGTCCACTCAAGCAAATCGATGAACAATGGGAGGACAGTGCTACAGTGCAGTGCTACCTCTCAGGGATGCTCGGGACCCCTTTCTCTAGGAAGTCCCCCCAGGCATTCCCTGCCTGTCAGAGGAAATGGTACGGAAGGGACAGGGTTGTCAGTCATAGGAACACAGCAAGAGGTGGCCAATGTACCAGGGCTCTGGCCAGCACTACTTCCCACAAAGGACTTGCGTTGAGAGGGCCTTACCGTGGACCCGTAGTTAATGACCATGGTCTGCAGCCCCCACGGTATGCCGAGACCCACAAGGATGTCGAACACGTTGCTTCCGATGGTGTTGGAGACCGCCATGTCGCCGAGGCCTGGAGGACAAGGGACACCTGTCATCTGGAACCCTGTGTCCACCCACAGCTGTTCTCAGAGAGGGACTCCTCCTCAGGTGCCCTGCAGTCTGGGAAACTTTGGGGGGGAGGGGGTTGAAGACCCTCTTACTTCCTGAAGGCTCAGGGGCTGTCATAGGTGGGCCCAGCCCCAGGCCAGCCCTCCCTTGATACCAGCGCTGTCCTGGCATGAGTTCACAGCTGTGGTCAGGCTGTCACCTCAGGGCCAGGCTGGGGTCATGGGCCTTAGGCCTTCTGTCCTGGCCCTCGGCAGAGTGGACTCTGCCCTGCCCGGGCAGGGAAGATGCTTCTGAAAGGGCCTGACGGGTATGGCCAGCACCTGAGGAAGTCTGTCCCGGGGCAGAGCTCTGCATCAGGAGATGGAGTCGGACAAACGGTCCCTGCCTGACCCTCCCCTCATCTATGACGATGGTCTGAAGCTGACAGCATGAGCAGCTGGGACCCCCGGCACTGCAGACCGGAGAGAAGCAGCCTGGGTCCCCCCAACCTCCTCCCCGGGCTGTCCATGCCCCCTCAAGGGCCCCCTGTCCCTGCCTCCCTGAGCCCAGGGCTAGGAGAACAGGGCCTGGGAAGGGACGAGTAAGCAGCTCCCGAGAAACTCACCCTGAGCTGCTCGCACAGCAGGAACACACAGAGACCCCCACCCGGCTGCGAGTGGCCCTCACTGGAGCTGCCGGGAGGGCCCAGCTCACCCACCTTGCCTGGCCACGATCAGGCTGGCCATGCAGTCTGGAACGCTCGTGCCCGCTGCCAGGAAGGTGATGCCCATGATGACGTCGGGGATACCCAGAGTGTAGCCGATGATGGTTACCTGCAGGGGGAGGGTGGCGGGGGGTGGGGCGCTCAGGATGAGCCCCGCACCCCTGGCTCAGGAGCGGCCCTGGTGTGACCCTCGGTCAAACCTGGAACAGGCCTCTATGCTTTGTTTTGTTTTGCTCTTTTGGGTCACACCCGGTGATGCACCAGGGTCATTCCTGGCTCTGCACTCAGGAATTACTCCTGGCGGTGGTCAGGGGACCATATGGGATGCTGGGAATTGAACCCGGGTTGGCCGCGTGCAAGGCAAACACCCTCCCCGCTGTACTACTGCTCCAGCCCTGCCTCAATGCTTTAAAGGAAAAAAGTCCTTGTTTCAAAGAAATTAAATCACGGTTTTAAATAAGTTAAAGACTGAAGTCAAATGGAAATAAAAATTACCCATGAGGACTGGAGCGCTTGTACTCACCCGACTCAGATTCTATCCCCGGCCCTTCCTATGGTTCCCCGAGCCCGCCAGGAATTATTTTGAGCACAGAGCCAGGAGTCAGCCCTGAGCACCACTAGGTGTGCTCTCACCCCCAACCTTGCCCTGTACTCCACAAACATGGCGCACTGGCCAATGGCCCTCTGAGTTGGTGTTTAGAACACCCACCCCTCCCCCAGCCCTGGGTCTGGTTAAGAAGCAGCCTGCCTGGGCCCAAGCTAGTGCTTCTGAGACAGGAGCTAGGGCCTGAGAATCTGCATTCCCGGCTCAGGTAACTGGACGCCGAGACTGAACGACCCTACCAACACGTGTTTTGCATCAATGTGTCTGTGGGATACCTTTCCACCTCAGGTCAGACGCAAGGCTGCGTCCTCGGGGGCAGCTCAGGGTCTCCGACCTGGGGCCTCTAAGCCTCCGTGATGCTGCGAGTTTAGAAAGGGAAGCAAAGCCCAGGGCTGGGAGGCCGGGAAGTGACTGCCCCCCCCCCCCAGGGGTGCCAGGGGCCAGGCGGATCACTGACTGTGAGGTTCCTTGTTCAAGAACCTTCACCCCGACAACCTGCAGAGGTGAGGTCGACACTGCTCCCTGGGGCCCCCCTCAGGGCACAAGCAAGACCAGCACCTGTACCTCAGGGAGCCTAGCGCCAGGCGGGGAGGAGGGGCTGGTGAGGTCTGTCCCTCCCACTGTCCTGCTGAGGTTTGACAGGGGCTTCCCGTGACACCCGCCCCCCGCTCCCAGCATGCCCTTAGCTGAGCATCTGCTTTAAGACGATGCGTGGGGTGAAAAGCTCAACCTCACTGCTAGTGCGTGGCCCTGATTTTAATGACTCAGTTCTCCTCGGCAATTAAACACATTCCACACACTTGTTAATCTCACTTTCCTTCATTCTCCTACCCACTCAAACGTCAAGAAAGGCTTTCTAATTTTTGTTTGCTTGGGGCCACACCCAGCGGCACTCAGGGATCACTCCTGGCTGGCTTGGAGGACCCTATGGGGTGCTGGGGATGCAATTCAGATCGGCCATATGCAAGGCAAAGGCTCTCTGTACTATTGCTTTGGCCCAAGCACTTTTATTTTTTAATTAGGAATGTGCTTTGGTAAGAGAAACATTGGGTCCTTCCTTCCAAACTTAGAGGTGAGCTTCCCTGCAGCCCTCCTCAGGAAAATGGGAAAATTCCAACCACTGAATTTGGGGCTGAGCGATAGCATAGCAGTAGGGCGTTTGCCTTGCACGCAGCCAACATGGCCGACCCGAGTTCGATTCCTCCGCCCCTCTCGGAGAGCCCGGCAAGCTACCGAGAGTATCTCGCCCGCATGGCAGAGCCTGGCAAGCTCCCTGTGACGTATTCGATATGCCAAACACAGTAACAACAAAGTCTCCAATGGAGACGTTACTGGGCCCGTTAGAGCAAATCAATGAACAACAGGAGGACAGTGACAGTGAAGTTGGGGCTGGGGAATATCAGGCCTGAGAAATGCCAGGGCCAAGCCCTGGAGTGGGAGGAGGCACACCGCTACTTCCCACCAGCTGTCCACTCCCATGTCACCTGTGATGTTACAGACACACGTGTGATGTTAAGGAAATGTGTGTGATCTTATAGACGTGTGATGTTACGGATACATGTGTGACGTTACAGACATGTGTATGATGTTACAGGCACGTGTGTGATGTTAAAGGCATGTATGTGATGTTGCCAACACATGTGTGATGTCATAGGCCCATGTGTGATGTTACAGACACGTGTGTGATGTATCTGTATTGTATCTGATGTTACAGACATGTGTGTGAGGTTACAGACCTGTGTTAGATGTGCCCATATCATAGATGTTACAGACATACGTGACATTACAAACGTGTGTGTGATATGTCTGTATCGTATGCAGCATTACAGACAAGTGTGTAATATGACGGACGTGTGTGATGGGCCTGATTTGCATGTAATGTTACAGATACCATGCCCGTATGTATCGTCTGTGAGTTAAGCTATGGATTTCTAAAAGGCCCTTGGCAGAAAAATGGTTCTCGCCTGACTTAAGGCTTCATCTTCACTGTCCTGGACAGTCCCTCCGTTCTGGAGGGGGCTGGACACTGGCTAATTGCTGCTCTCCTTCCCCATCAACAACACACGTGAGCACACGGAGTCACACATGCACACACACGCATGCACACAGCACACACCAGTACACTCACAGAAGCATCATTTACAGGTTTGTGAATATGCACATATACACGCATACGCACACACACACACACAGAGGCACCATATACTGGCGTGTGAACATGCATGCATATATATGAACACAAACACAGACACACTCACACATACATTCAGAGAGGCACTATGTACAGACGTGTGAACATACACGCATACACATGCACACAAACACACACACACACTCACCCACACACAGAGGCATCCCCAGGGGACTCTGCCCTTCTCGAACCTTTCACCTTCCCTGGTGAGTGACTTGCACCCTGGGGGGCCGTGTGTCCCCCCCCCACCAGTTCAGATCTGGGGTCTGAGCAGGCTTCTGGTCTCCCTTGCCCTCGAGAGACAATGAGGCTCACCCTCACTTCTGGGAGGGGGATGACACACAGAGAGGTGCCACCAGCCCACTGTCCTCTGGGTCACTCTTCCCCCAATGGCTCTTCTGGGGTCCAGGAAAAGTGGGCCTGAGTCCTCCCACCTCTGCAGCTGGCATTAGGGCTGGGCGCCGGCGCTTCCCCCATGTCTGTATGCCCACTTCTCTCTGTGCACCTGGGCACCCCGACTGGGGAGGAGCAGGGGCCCGCGAGCACAGGGGAAGGGCTCCCTCTCCACCCAGCCCCCGGCCCTCCTGCATGGCCAGAGATGCCCCAGACCACAGCCCAAACCCTCCAGGAGCAGCTGAGAGGAAGTGCTGGGTGTGCCCGAGAGCCCAGTTGGAGACCCACAGCCCAGATGCTCCGGCCACCAGGCACCTGCTCATCCCTTCACTGCTTGGACCCACCACCCAGGAGCGTAGCTTTTGCAAAAGGGTGTGACAGAACATCGTGGGGGATTCAGGGAGCAGGTCTGGGGTCCCAGAGAAAGGAGGAGATCCTCGGGCAGGGACACAGCCACGGTGGCCTCTGACACTCCCTCATCTTCTCCTGGGCACCCTCCAAAGCGAGGACCCTCACGGCATTCCCCAGAGTCCTGCCCCACGTCCTGCCCTGCTCCTCTTCGGTGGCGAGTCTCGGGCTGTGAAGCCTGGTGAGCTCTGCAGCCTCAGAGCCCAACACAGGCTGGGAAGTCCCCGACCCCCACCCTGAAAGGCCCCTGGCTCGAGCCTTTCCAGCTCAGCGAGGGAGGTGACGTCTCTCTCCCAGCACCTGGCCCCCCAGTCCGCCACTCACCAACCACACCATCAGGTAGGAGAAGACGGCGATCCAGAGCGTGGCGGTGACGAAAGTGACCATGAAGAACTTCTCCCAGCGGGGCTTGCTGCAGTTGGGGATGGTGACACACAGGAGGAAGATGAGCGGCCAGGTGAACACCCACTTGGCTTTGTCCCCCCGCGACTCTGCGGAGATGGGGAGAAACAGGCACCGGGTGACTGCGGGTTCTTCAGCCAGGTTACCGAGGAGAGCATGGTGCCCTTGGGGGAAGGGGTGCACACAAGGGTTCCGGTCGCCTTGAGGGTCTCCCCTGCACAACTGACCATAGCAAGGCCATCCCAAAGGTGCCCGGCAACATCTTCAGTGTCTAAATCCTCCCTCCCACTGCAAGTCCCAGAGAGAGAAGGGCTTGTTGGGGAACAGGAACGGGGACACGGCACATCAAAGGGACTTGGGAAGTGGACAAGGCATGTGCTGGGATCCAAGGGTGCCCCGTGCACCCCCACATGGCATCTGCTCCTCTGGAAACCACACAGTCCTTGGCACACGTGTTCCTAGCTACTTGCAGCAGGCACAGTGCCCGGAAGCTGAGTCTTAGGAATTTCCTCGTGTGTCAACCAGGAGCGCATGTCTGATCTTTTTGGTGGCAAGAATGGTGGGAAATGGGAAACGGCAAACAATGCCCAGAATACCAGCCTGGCACACAGCGAGGACTCTGAAAATCTCAGCTTCTTTAGTCCAAGCTCATAAACTCGGCCCATGGCAGTTGCAATTTTTCTAAGGCAGGTGGGTTTCTTGCTTCTCCCAAAGGGACCCACAAACAAGTCCGCTGGGGGCACAGTGGCCTTGATCAGCCGTTGAGTGCAAACGCAGTGCCCCCAGCCAGCTAATGGGGATAGTGTTCTCAGGTGAGCTCAGTGCCAGCTGGTGGGGGCACCCCTGAGATGGTGGGGGAAGGTGGCCTGCAGTTTCCTTTCCCATAAGGAGTGCTATGAGAAGGGGACAGTCAGCCCTTCCAGAGCTCTGGGAACTCACCAATGGAGGTGTGAGATGGCCCAGAGAGTTTATTTGAGGGCATCAGCTGCCTCTCTGAGGGCGACAAGCTTTGTGGGATTTTGACTTGGTTTCTGTCCCTCCTTACCAGCTCTGGGGTCACCCCCTGTGCACCAGCAGCCCGGTGTCCACCAGAAAGGCCAGCTGAGGTTGGCACCCCTTTCAACCTCAGAGCAGTGACGTGATCTGACCTGATAAGGGAGTTCCTGGAAGACACCCTCACCCCCCCCTTCAAGACGCAATTTCTTTTGGCACATCAACACTGGTGTGTACCACCGGTGGCTCGCACTTGGATGTCACATCAGATGGACTGTACCGACATACATTGGACATTGTTGCCAAGGCGTCAGTTTACACTTTAGTTCTATTCTGTCACACAGAATGAAGGAACACGATTCACGAAGCCGCCAGATGGTGAGAAACACAAATTGCTTCACCCACATCAACGTGTTAAAGAGCTTTTTTTCTTGGAGATGTTTGATGAGAAGGGATTGTTGCCCCTGGATATGCCCAAGGAAATGGAGAAAAGTGAAGACAAATGATAAGCTCAACCCTGAGGGCTGAAAACAAGAGTAGGGGCCTGGAACACCCAAAGAGGGGCTTTGAAAAGCTCCTACCTACTTCTGGGAATCTTGGTACACATGGTAGCTGATAGCTCTGAAGACTCAACCAATAATAACCGGTTATGTGGATCTCTCTGATAAGGAACTTTAGAGAGGAAATGAAGAGGTTGTTTAAGAAGCTCGAAGAAACAATGGGACAGCCAGCCAGTAAAATATAAGAGGATAAGTTAGAGAGAAGAAATTAGAAAACTACAGGCAGAAACGCTCAAGCTAAACAAGTTGGTAGGCGAAATGAAAAATTCACTGGAAGGCCTCAGTGCAGAGTAACTGTAGCTGAGGACAAAAATCTTCTCAAAATTAAGAGCCCAGGCCCAGAGAGATTCACTAATGAGTTCTTCCAAACCTTTAAACAAGACTGACTGCCAATCCTTTTCAGGCTCTTCCAGGAAATAAAAAAAAAAAAAAACTTAAACAGTTTCTACTAAGCAAACATTACCCTGATAGCAAACGCAGACAGAAACAGCACCAAAAAAAAAAAAAAAAGAATTACAGTCCAATATCCCTGATGAACATAGACACAATGATCCTCAACAAAATACTAGAAAAAGAATCCAACAACTGATCCAAAAAAAAAAAAATCAAATACCATGATCCTGTGTTAGGAAATTCTAAGAATTTGAGAAAAAACTATTTGAAAATGATGAGAATAAACAAGTTCTGTTAAGGTGCAAGATATAAAATTCAACTGCATTTCTCATCACAAGCAATGAGCAATATCAAAATGAAACTGTGAAAATCGTTCCATTTACTGCAGCATCAAAACAGGGATGGGAAAAAAAATTCAGAATCAGGGCAGAGATGTGGCACAAATGGTGAACACGTGACTTGAAAGCATGAGGCCCTGAGTTCAATCCTTGGCACGGACTGGCCTCTGGGCACCTCTGGGGGTGCCCCCCCCAGTCTGCAGCACCTCTTGGTGTGGACCTCTCATGAAGGAAGGAAGGAAGGGAGGAAGGGAAGAAGGAAGGGAGGGAGTGAGAAGGGAGGGAGGAAAATTAGAAATAAATGTGACCCAGAAAGTACAAACTATGCTAAAAACTGCCAAATTATCACTGAAAAAAAAAACTAAAAATATAAATGAATGTAAAGACAGCTTATATTTGAATTAGAAAACTTAACATTGTCGGGCCGGAGTGATAGCACAGTGAGTAGGGCGTTTGCCTTGCACACGGCCCACCCGGATTCGATTCCCAGCATCAGCATCCCATATGGTCCCTTGAGCACTGCCAGGAGTAATTCCTGAGTGTAAAGCCAGGAGTAACCCTCTGTGCATCACCAGGTGTGATCCAAAAAGCAAAAAGAAAAAGAAAAAGAAAACTTAATATTGTTAAAGCAGAAATATCCTTCCAATTCATCTATAGATGTGTAATCCTCCTCAAAAGCCCATCTGAATGTTTCATAAAAAATGAAAAGCTGATTCTAAAATTCATATGGAAATTAAAGCAACCAAGAATAACCAAACCATGCCAAGAGTAATTCCTGAGTGCAGAGCCAGGAGTAAGAATAACCAAACCAATCTTTACAAAAGGAACAAAGCTGGAGGATTTACTTGCTTTGATATAAAATCTTAACTACACGGATAGATAGTAGAACAGATAAGGCACTTGCCTTGCACACAGCTGATTTAAACTCTGGCACGCCATATGGATATGGCCCCCTGAGCACTTCCAGAAATAAGCTCTGAGCACAGGGTCAGGAGTAAGTCCTGAGCACCACTGGGTGTGGGCCAAAAAAACAAAATCTGATAACAAGCTACACAATTTAAGAGTGAGCTACCAAGGGGAGAGAGAAAGAGAGAGAGGGAGAGAGAGAGAGAGACAGAGAGAAAGAGACAGAGACAGAGACAGAGAGAGACAGAGAGGGAGCTGTAGAATAAAATCTGGGACAATATTTAACAAAGGTATGGAAACAATTTGAAGTCTCTTAAACAAATGGTGCCAGGCCCACTAACTATCCATAGTTAAAAGATAAAATAGAACGTCTACCTCATCCCACATATGAAAATGAATTCAATGAAGTTTAAGATCCAAACAGATTAAAGACCTGAAGATTAAAGATTGAAACATAAGAGATTAAACCTATACACTTTTAGAAAAGAACAATGGGGTAATTCTTTTTTTTTTTTTTTTAGTTGGCTCGCTTAATCTTAATTTTTTGGCTACACTAGCACGCGACAGGGACAAATGGAGACGTTACTGGCGCCCGCTCGAGCAAATCGACGACTAACGGGAAGTTAAGTGATTTTTTTAGAACAAAACAGGTTATTTCTATTGGACTACTGATACAGAGGATAGTGTGGTCTGAATGGATAGTATGAATGACAAATAATACAAATATAGTTTATTTGAAATAAAAATGCTTATACAGCTCTGTAGGTCACTCATAAAGGAACTCTTGCTTGACTTTTTTTTACTCAGCAAAAAAAAAAGCTGAAGCACAAACACCCCTTTTTTTTGGACATGTATTTGGAGAAAGGAAGACACTACTTGGTTTTAAAAAAACTGACCTTCCTTAAGGCCTGGTCATAGAAGTGTAAACAATGTAAATGAGTCCACCATTACCAGCTGTCATATCACATCTATGTCACCTGTGCATTAAGGTTATGCAAAACCTGCCACTAGAGGTTTGCTATATCACAGTTACATTTGGCAGGCAGGACTGAGGAAGAGTAATTTAGAACAAGTTTTACAACCTATTTAAAACAGATCACCAGTATTCTAATGGGGTAATTCTTCATGACATTTTGTTAGACAAGTTTCTTCAGTGACAGAAAAACATAAGCACATAAGTAGCAGAGAACAGATAAGCTGGGCTTTTTCAAAATCTAAGAAAATTATGCTTCAAAGGACCCCATTGAGGAAGTTGGAGGCAAGTCACTGGAGAAAATATTTTGGATCATACACAGTGGAGGTTTGCCTTGCATGCGGCCGACCTGGCTGACCCCGGTTCGATTCCTCTACCCCTCTCAGAGAGCCCGGCAAGCTACTGAGAGTATCTTGTCTGCACGGCAAAGCCTGGCAAGCTCACTGTGATGTATTTGATGCGCCAAACACAGTAACAATAAAGTCTCACAATGGAGATGTTACTGGGCTTGCTCGAGCAAATCGAGGAACAATGGGAGGACAGTGACAGTGATAGTGACAAAACTCTAGTGTCCAAAATATATAATTCTGACAACACAACCACTAAAAAAATTATATCTTTTTTTTTTAAATGGAGCGATAGCACAGTGGGTAGGGCGTTCGCCTTACAAGCGGCCAACATGGCCGACCCGAGTTCGATTCCTCCGCCCCTCTCGGAGAGCCCGGCAAGCTACCGAGAGTATCTGATATGCCAGACACAGTAACAACAAAGTCTCCAATGGAGACGTTACTGGGCCCGCTCGAGCAAATCGACGATCAACGGGAGGGCCTTTACCTTTACCTTTACCTTTTTAAATGGACAACAGGATCTGAGTAGACAGTTCTTCAAAGAAGAAGAACAAATAGCCCATAAGGATATGAAAAGAT